TAGCTGTTCTTAAATGAAGGCTTTTCACCTTTGAGAGCATAAACTCTATAACTTTCTGCATACTTTATGTTTGAACCTCCTGAGCCATCATTGACATAAATTTTTATAGGCTTCCACCCTTTGTTCATGTTCCTGCTTCTTCCCTTAGCTCTTTTGTTCAGTAGTTCTACATCTTTATACACAGCACCTGTCTCAGTGAATTCAACAATATTTTCATTCGTTAGCTTTACATTCAAACCCTTGTCGAGTATATTGTTCATTTCATACATATAAAAGGTTTTTATTCTATATGAAATGAGAAGCAAATCCATCTTAGCTGGTGCCGTTAATGTTCCAATTGAACCAACATCAAATGTTGACTCACGAACGACAAACAATATTGTCATAAAGAACTATAGTTCAGAGTGTTTGAAAGAAAAGAACCAGAACTGAAATCCGTGAATTTAAACACAGCTTCAAACGCTAACGCTACATCAGATGTTAAGTTAGAGTATCCACCACTGGACCAAATTCTTTCAAGAGAAGCCAACGACAACCCTTACACAAATGTTCAAACAAATCCTTCAGATAACGTAGACCATTACCTTCTTCAGTTATACCAAACAATTTTACTCAAAGACGATAAGAAGCTTTTGACAAATCTTATAAGCAAGAACCAAATAATTCTAACAAAGGAGGACCTTGAAAATGTTATCTCACGAATAACAGGGAAACAATGTGTCATTGACTATCTCGACCCTGAAATCGAATGCTGTGGTCAAACGCCACCATTCATGAAAATAGGTAACATCCGCATCATTGAAACACCAGGTACTACAGGAGTTGAGTTTAAGTATAAATATTCGAACGAGTATACAAAACTTTCAACAGAATATAAACTTTGCTTGAAATATGTTTTAGTAAATTAAAGCAATTTGTAATATCTATCCAAAACTTCTTCAACAGTATCGAACTCATCTTCATAATGCAAACCTAATCTTATTGACTTGGTGCAGTTTTCACTAACACAATATTTTTCTGTTCTCTTGACTGACATAACTAACTCATTTGTTTCATCAAACAGCAACAACCAAAGTTCATGACCTAATACATAACATTCATACTTTATATTTTTAGCTCTGAGTTCTCTTGTAAGCTGTTGCATTTAATATTTTCTAAAAAGTCAACTTCAACAGTCATTCGCACTGGTGCCTTCAGTTCTACAGGCTCTCCTTGAAAGTCAACAAGTCTGAATTGCATGTCTTTCAAATTATGAGGACTAATGCGAACCCATTTACCTAAATGAGTTGCTATGACAGGAACGTTTGGAATGAACATTGAATTGACTGCATAACAGAAAGACTTATATTCTACTGAACCTTTACTATTAACTCCTGAAATACCTGTGACATTAGCTATTTTTGACTCAATGTACAAACAATTACCATAACATACGTATGGAACAGATTTCATCTCAATCGTTTTGTCAACACTTTTCAAAGGAAATGTCATATGGTATGCTCCCAGAAGAATTACTCTATGACTCATTCTTGGTATCTTAAACTCTTTCTTGCTACTGAACTTCAATGTTCCCTCAGAAGAGAGTTCGACATCTATGTTGTCAATAGTTTCTTCATTTATGAGAGTATCTATGACTCCAGCAATTTTATCTATTCTATACTCTGCTCTGTTAGGAAATGTTATAAAACTTCTTTTGTCATCTATTTCAATCTCTATGAAATCTGTTTCATCTGTTATGACAAAAGTTGCGATAGTATTGAAGTCAACAACTCTGAAAGCAAGCGCTTCATTCTGAAGACCTAAGTTTGTTTGTAGCTTTACTGTCCCGTATTCGTTTGGGTCTGTACTTTGCAAATAGAACAACATTTTATTCTCATTAAAATATGATTGCTGCATATGCGTATGAAACAAATGAAGCAAGAAGAGCACATGAACTAGTAAACGAAAACTCAACTTTAACCATTGAAGGCAATGATTTAGTCATTGACGATGGAAAAACTAAAAAAGTCATTGATTTCGATACTTTTAACACTTATGACCCATTCATTACAACAAGCAAGGTTCCTATCATAAATGATGGAACGGTGCAATATATAAATTCTACAGTAGATGCCTCATTAGTGAAAGTATTAAATGTTCTCATTGAATTGTTAAAGAGCTTTCGATTTGACGACAACATTAAATGCCTAAAGAATTTAGTCATGAATGAGAAACAAATTCTCGGCGTTGCTGGTAGCAGTAATGATGTACACCTTATGACATTAGAATATTATAACGAACATAAAGATGAACTGAAAGGAGAGAAGGGTGACACCGGACCGGACCTCAAGGACCACAAGGAATACAAGGAATACAAGGAATACAAGGAATACAAGGAATACAAGGACCTCAAGGCGAAAACGGTTTGGATGGAAAGGATGGAAAGGATGGAAAAACTGCTAAATCATGGATATGGGACCTTATAAATACTGGTTTAACAGCTGCTTCATATGGAGTTCTTCAATACCAAATCGGAAAGATATGGGCAGTACTTGGTGAAGAAGTTTTAATGACGTTAAAAATGCTTTGAACTTCATTTCAAATGGTTCGGATACTATTAAAACTTTATCTGGTTGGATGCAAGAAACAAGGAGTCAAATAGATACTGTAAGACGTATAGCAAACAATGCACGTACGGGATTGGATACTTTACGACAAGCACAAAATACACTAAAGGAAGCAAATGATATTCTTGGCTCAGTATCAGACATGCATGAAGATTGGCTTAAAGGTATTGACAAATCTTTAAAAAATCACAGTCAGTCTATTGCTGACTACAAGAAAAGTATAGATTTTTTACATAGTGCTATGGACGTACATGATGGAAGCATAAGGAACTTACTTAATGCTAACAATAACTTACCAGGAACTATTAAAGCATTTATAAAGTCCTTTGTAAAACCCGGTGCTCTAACATTTAGGTCTTTGAGAGCAAGAGCATTGAAGTCAAGAGATGCAGAAACTCCAACAGAACCTACAGAAGGAACTGAAACAACAGAAACTCCAGAAGAACCACCAAAACCAACAGCTAATGAAATATTGTTCGAATATTTTCCAAGGTACTCTGTTCTCATTGCATACATTCAAGAAATACTTAAGAAAGCAGACTTGACTTTAGGAGATGATGAAAGTTCTGTATATCTTTCGTTCCAGTTTCAAATAGCAGAACTTTTGAGACAGATATGCTTAATGTATGACAACATCTCTGATTTCACAAGATATGATGACGACCATGACCCCGAACACGGTGAAGAAGAAGTTTTACAAACATCCATTAAGACAGGAAAGGTTTTAACTCAAAGTCTCATTATTGACACCAAAGATGGCGAAGTGGACGTTCTTCAAGAGCTGAAGAAAAATACTTCTTCGGGAGGTGGTGGTAGGCATGAACTTGAAATAAATGAGATGGAAGAGAAATTAGCCGAAAAAGCAGATAAAGAACATAAACACAATATCTCCGATATAAATGAACTTCAAGCTACATTAAATAGTAAAGCGGACAAAAATGAACTTGACGCAATGAACAAAGTTTTGAAATCTCATAAACACAATATCTCCGATATAAATGAACTTCAAGCTACATTAAATAGTAAAGCGGACAAGAACCACGTTCATTATATAAGTTCAGACGAACAGATTATAACGGACTATCATGGATATTTAACACAGGGTGAAAAAGTGAAGACGAAAAATGTTAATGAAAGAAGATATAAATTCATTCGTGCTAAAGGTTATGACATACACTGTACTGTACAGTATGACACAGGTATAGCACCACAAACATTTGGTTATACCGGTGAAATTTATGCTTCATACTTCTTTGTTAACGGTGTATTAGTTGAACCAAGATTTATGTTAAGAGTTAAGGCAAAAATAACTTTTGAAGATGCTATTAAAAGTAAAGCTGACAAAAATGAACTTGACGCAACGAACAAAGTTTTGAAATCTCATAAACACAATATCTCCGATATAAATTCACTTCAAACTTCTTTAGACAGTAAAGCAGACAAAAACCATACACATGAATCCTTCACAACTGTTAGAGCAGACGACATAATATTGAGCTATACCCTTGGTTCAAGTGCACCTTTAGAGAATCCAAGTACAAGCGTAAAAGATACACTAAACTCCTTAAATAACAAATGTATGAACATTGAAGGTCATGCCAGAAACTTTGAAACACATGAACTACCAGCAATGTTAGACAAGAAAGCAGACAAAACTTATGTGGATGCAGAACTAACAAAGAAATTTTCGAAACCAGATACAATGACATTTACAACAGAAATTATAAATGGTGAACCAGCAACTCCATTTGAATTTGTTAGAGGTCTTCAACCAGATACTTTTGAATTTTTCTTGGATAATTCTATTGAACTAACATTACATTATAAAAGTGGAACAAAATGCAACATTTCATCCGGGAGATACATTCCAAATGGTATTTAATGACATAAGTTCTTTAGAATATGTTTATAGAGTTATGAGCATATATGATTTAATATATCCTATAGGAGCTGTTTATACGTCTATGAATCCAATAAATCCAAACACTTTATTTGGTGGTAGATGGTATGAAATAGTTGACAGTTTTCCATTCTACACTAATACGCAGTCAATGAAGATGGGAGGTTCAAAGAAAATAGGTATTGAAAACCTTCCTTCACATATGCATAGGTTCAGTGGAAGAACATCTGTGGAAGGAAACCATTCACATTCAATAACAAAAAGAGGTTATATAAATCTTGCAGCGGGTTCGAATAGACAGGGAATGAACAGATATGATATCTCAGATGACCCCAAAGATGTTAGCACAGGTATTTTCTGTGGAACTGCAGGAAATCATACACATGTTGTAGCTGGTATTACAGACCCAGCAGGTAATGGAAAAGATTATATGCCTCCTTATATAACAATGCACGCTTGGATACGAGTTGGTTAAAATCTTTAACTTTACATAAATGAGCTTGAAAGAAGTATTCGAACAACATCCGTGGAGGTCATTTAAGAAGTTCAATGAAGCTGCAAAGAGTTGGGGATTTACTAACAGAGCTGAAGTGAAAAGGTTCTTTGACAAAAATGTTGTACATCAAACAAAAATAAATCCTTACGACTACTTTTTACCAATTTACTCCAACACTCCTGACGCATACCAATTTGACACTCTCATTCAAAGCAGAAAAGGAGGACATAAACCATTCCTCATCTTCATTAATGTTAACACTCGTAAAGCATATGCATATCCAATGAAAAATAAAGGAACTCGTGAAGTGTTAAGAGTTTTACAAAAGTTTGTAGCAGAACATAACCCAAGTACTTTAACATCAGACCAAGACAGTGCATACCTCAGCAATGAAATCACAGAATTTCTCATTAAGCATAACATAACTCACTACACTACTGAAGACCATAACCATAACATACTCGGCATCATAAACCGCTTCATAAGAACGCTCAGAGATTTAAACCAAGAGCGAGACTTTACCGAAGAAACAATGAAACATTTTCTCGAAGTATATAATTCCTCAACACATTCTACAACAGGACATACACCAAATTCAATGACACAACAACAAGAAGAAAAGTATATACAAAAGAAACGAAACCAAACACAAAATATCAGAAATTCAACACAATTTACCCTCATTCCTGGTACAAAAGTTCGTGTAGTTCTTGACGACAAACCGTTGACAAAGAAACGTTTAAGGTTAAGTAGAAACTATTATATCGTAGACTCTACGCAAGGTAATGGATATCTTATAAAAGCTGCTGACGACTCCATAGCATTTTATCCTCGTCATAAATTAGTCGAAAGTAGTAATGGCAAACTTGCTGAAACCATTGACGAAGCAAAGCGAGGAGTGGTTATTGAAATACTTGACTATAACATAAACGATGACACTTATAAAGTAAGATATGAAGGAGGTGTTGAAGATGTTATACCATCTAAGAACTTGAGAGAGTCAAAGCCAACACATCTGGGACCATTAGAGCGGGAGTATTGGAAAGACAAAAACATGCCAGAAAGAATAAGAAAATTCTTCTAAACTTTTTCATTAGATGTTAAATCAGACATGAATGAGAACAGTCATGATATCATTAATGTACCATTTATTTTTGTCATAAATTTACACCAAAAATATAATTTAGGTGAAGAGGTGAGATCTCACCTGTTTTCTCACCTGTTTTTTCACCCTCATGAATTTTCATGAATTTCCTTAAGATAGAAAAAAAGTTAGTTTTAAAATTATTTTTATTTTTTTTTATTTTGTATGTAAAGACAATAATGTCAGTCGAAGCAAAAACATTCACGAACAAATCTAATGGTGAAACATTCACAAAAGGACTTATAACGGTATTGAAGTCTTACGTAGAGACAGAGGATGGTTACATTAATGCAACAAAGATGGCAAGAGAAGCAGGAAAGTTAAACCATTTAAACAGATTTCTCAATAGTGCTAAAATGCAGGAAATTCTTGAGTTTTGGTTGAAAGAATACGGTCGAGCCAAAAGTGGCTCAACCTCAAAACAAGCATTTTATGAGCTTACTAAGGGTGTTATAAATGAATTCAAAGGTATTTACATACATCCTGACTTCGTTCATTTTGTTGCTGAATGGTGCTCTGTAAAGTATGCATTTTATGTCAAAGATATTATGGACTCCATAGACAAGAAAGTTCATGAGAAATTAGATGAAGAAGAACTCGAAGATACAGTAGAGAATGCAAAACATTTGTTTGAAGAAGAAGTTGGAAAATGTGGAAAAACAATTAGAACATGAACGTGAGATATATTATGGTTATAGAGATCTCATACGAACTAGACCAATGGGAACAAGAAGATTTAAAGAGAGAATTTAGAGAATATGAACTCGCTAAGATAGCATTTGAAGCTGCAGAAAAGAAGTTAAAAGTTTGGGGTCGTTTTGTAAAAAAATATTGTGAGTAAATGAACCATTTATTTTTATTGAATTCACCAAAAAATATAATTTAGGTGAAGAGGTGAGATCTCACCTGTTTTTTCACCCTCGTGAATTTTCATGAATTTCCTTAAGATAGAAAAAATAAAGTTAGTTTTATTTTTATTTATTTTTTTTATTTTGTATAAAAGATATGATTTCAACAATCGGCACAACAACAATTCAAACAACTACAGCACCAAACTCGCTAGTCATGAATCCTACGTCAATGTTAGTAGAGATGAAAAGCTTTATTCCTCCTTCATATACTTTTGAAACAGAAATCCAGAAGATAAAGCAAGAACTTTTAACAAGTAATTTAGACTGTAGTGCGAAAGATGAAACAAATGAACAGTATCTTTATGAAATGGAGGACCTCATCGACCATTTGCCTAAACTACCTGAAATCCAACAACAAAAACTCACTATTCCTGAATTCGACGAAATTGAAGTCAAAGCAACTGACTCAGTAGAAATTAAGAAATTCATACGTAAAGTAAATTATGAATTCCTTGGTTTTCATTGCAACCATAAAGTTATGGACAAAGATTGCGACATGGTTTATAAAAATATTTCTGACCTTTACAAATCCGAAGAATTTAAGACCTACGATAACTTTGTTTCATTAGTTGCTGAATGTGTTTGGGAAATAAGAGATAAAGATAGAAGAGGCAAAGTATGAAATGAACAACTAAGACCCGCTATGTTTGAGATGAAGAGAGCAATTGACGCCTTAGTTGTTCTAGCAGGTCAAATTTCAATGTATAACGCAAAAATGAACCCGCAATGTTCTAAATGTAAGGCAGCAATGAGGAAATATAACTACTCCGTCAAAGAGATAGAAAGAATGCGAAACGACTATGCAGACTTAAAGAAAGAAGCAGAAAAGCCAGCAGAAGATAAAATGGACATGTTGACATTTCTTAATAAAAATTATCCAACAGCAGAAGATTTCCTTCTGTCTGACGTCAAGAAGAAATATAAAGAGACTTTCGGCATTGTTAAAACATTCGATGTACTAAAAGAAGAAATAGAAGCTACAAAACTGTTTAGGATTTCAAATATACATCGTACAATTCATGTAAAACGCTTGTGAAAAAAGAGGTGAGAAAAGAGGTGAAAAAAGAGGTGAGATCTCACCACTTCACCTAAAATATATTTTTACTGAAAAATGACCAAATTTCATGAATTTCCTTAAGATAGAAAAAATAAAGTTAGTTTTATTTTTATTTATTTTTTTATTTTGTATGTAAAGACAGTAATGTCAACATCAGAGAACACAACAACTGCTATCGTTCATGAAGCCATAAATGAAGAATACGAATACATACAGTTTAACAAACAACTCCGTCTCATTCGTTCAGTCAAAGATGATATGTACCAAATGCAAAGTATTTTGACAGCATGTTATGCTCCAGATACTAAGCTTCCTAAAGACTGGTTTAGGAACCAAAGCACTATTGAACTATTAAATGAAGCACAGCGAGACATACTTTTTTCTGAAAACAGTGAAGAACAGCGAGTAGGTAAAAAACCCCAGTCGCCAAAACTCTATGAAAATCGTGAAAAATTGCCAAACGGTTTGAGAGGATATTATGTACATAGACTTCTTGTAAATAATGTGGCACAATGGGCTTCAGCTCGTTATGCTTGGTATGTTTGTAAACTTCTTGACGAAATTCACAGACAAGAACGTGAAGAGCTGGAAAAGAAACTTCAAGCAAAAGATGAAGTCATTGAATCCAAAGACAAAAGCATTCAGAAAAGAATACCACGTTCGGTACCAAAAGGAAAGGAAAAGAGTTATAAGTATATGATTTATACTGAAGAGTTGGAGAAAGAAGAAGATAGAGATATGGTTATGTTGCATTTAGTCAGAAGAAACAACAAAAGCTTTTACGACCTTGCTAAGATATATAAATCTGACAGAAACTGGTTCTATCGTGAAAACTTACCGATTTCAATGACACCGAATGAGCAAATAAAGGAAATTGTCAAAAATACTCTTCCTCAAACACACTATGATATGAAAGGTTGTACAATACTTACCTTCAAAGAAGACTTACCGCTACTGAAGGAAAAGATAACAGAATATTTCGACAACTTCAAAGAGGAAGAATAAAAAAATCTAAGCTAATTTTATTTTTTTATAAAATTTTATCTCATATGAAAGAACATGAATTTAGAATATTCGGAACTCATGACAGAAGAAGAGAACGAACAACATGTAAAAGATTATGCAAAATTTCTGAAGACATACAAAGCATTTAAACAATATCTAAATGCTTCTAAAGATTATGCAAAATTTCTGAAGGTATATAAAGCTTATGAAAAAGCGTATGAAAAGTTTATACATTGGGGAATTGTTGTAAAATATCGATATGAAGACTAACCAAAAATATATTTTTGCTTAAATAGCTTCAGGGTCTATTTCTTCAACCATTTCACTTCCTTCGTCAATGTCAATAGAAGCTTCTTCAACCTTTGGTAAGAACTTTTGTATGACATCTTTGTTCGTTATTGTCTTCAGAGATGAAGGATAATATTTCACATTTGTTTCACCCTTCTTATATTCTTTCTGTTCGGAAAGATTTAAAGCAATACTGAAGAAGTCAACGTTAGAGTTCTTTATAACAGTATAGTGTGTATCTTTGACATTCACGAAGAAACTCTTTTGTTTCAAAACTACTGCTAACTCTTGTGAAGTATAACGTTTGCGGTCAATGACAATAGCTAATGGTCTGACATACTGACCAAACTTAGATTCTTTCACAAACTTCTTGTTAAAGATAACATTAACATTTGAAGCATTATTGAACTCATTCTTGATGGCAGTAGCGAGAGCATTGTATGAAAAGAACTTGCAATCTTGCATGTGTTTCATTAAAATAAAAATATTAAATTATTTTGAAAAATAACTTAAAAAAAATCTAATCTATTTTTTTCAAAAAATATTTTTTTTATTTCCTACTAAAGATGTATCGGAAGTTGTCTAAGTTAGAACACTCGGAAATAAAACAACTTCTTACAGAAGCTAACATAGAAGTAGCAAAACATTACGCAACAAACAAAAAGGCACTCGCTGACTTCATTAAAGACTATAATGGTGCAATAAGTTATGATAGAATTCATGAGTTCATAAAGTCGCAACGCGGCGAGGACGAAGTTCATGCAAGAGTATTTCCTTTAAATGACATTGCTATTGACTTATATCATAGACGTTCAGTACCTCATGAAGTAAGAAGAGAAATGTTTGACATAACAAATGCAAACATTGGTGAAACAAGAAGAAGAGACGACACACTGAAACAACAGAGAAGAGAGATGTTTAAGAGCGCTATAGAACAAGTTCGCAAAGCTAACGATGTCATTCGTTCCATTGACGACAAACCAAAAGAAGGTGAGAGATGGTTAAAGAAAGATGAAGAGAATAGGAAGAGAAATGTGAAGTCAGGCAATAGACTCATTGACTTTAACATCGAAGCTTTAGATGAACCAAACAGAGACTACTTACACAAACATTTCGGTAAGGTTTTCATGAGACTCTTAGAGAAAATTAAAATAAACTCCCAACAAAGATGGATGGTATGTTATAAACTTGGTGGAAAGTATGAATGTTCTACGTTAAACCTCAATAATATTGGAACATTACTACATCAGCTCTTGAAGGAGAACTTTATATCAGAGATAGAAGCAAATGCTGCAGGTATTGTTGAAATCACTATGACTTTCTTCTTGACAAACATAAAGAATCTTACTGAAATAAAGATGTATGATTTAACAGAATATGAAGGCTTAACGATGCTCAGATGTAAAGAAAGGAAAGCCACAGAAGCGACCATATAGAGATGAAAGCACACTGACAAATGACCAGAAAGCCATTTTGGAAGCTCTTAAGCAAACAGGAAACCCAGCACTTATAGAAAGCTTTTGGAAAGATAATGGTGAAAAGAAGTTTTTATAAGAAGAGAAGCGGTCAGTTCTGGAAGTATCTTTGCACATTACCTATAAATCTTGAACGCTACCAAATCTTCAATGAACTGAACAAAAGAACTGCAACACTTATGACAGAAGACAATTGTTTCGTTTATGCTTGCATTCAAGCTGGAGTAAATGAAGAAACTATTGACCACATGAGAGAAGTCATTCGTGCTAGAGACTTTCCTCAAAGTAAAGTACAAGAAATTTCTGACGCAACAGGTATAGCATTTAATGTTGTCATTGGTTATTTCAATGACTCAAGACATAATGAAATAAAGAGATATATACCAAAAGAATGTGAAACTGTTCGAACTATTGACTTACTTCTTGTTGAAGACCACTACATGCTAAACGAAAGATTACCAATGACAACATATTTCATTCGCAACTATATAGAAATTCTCAAAGCTTGTGGTGGAATGAACATTGAGAAACAAATGAAGATTTATACAAAGAGAGAAGATAAATATGTAGTTCGTTATGATAGAACAACACCGCTATGGGATGTTATGAAAACATTGTGGGAGTGCAAATATTTCGAACCTATTTCTTATGGAGAACTTTTCACATATACTACTGACTTATATAAACAGAACCTTGCACCATTTAAAGATTTGACATATGCTCCAAAGTATTGTGTACAACTGAAGAAGAAAGCCGAGTCAAAAGAAGTAAATAAAAATAAGTGCAAGTTCATTCCTGAGCACGTTTTCTTTGCTGACTTTGAGTGTAGTACGGATGGCTTTCATAAAGCTTTTAACATCTGTTATGACAGTGAAGATGGTTCAGTGAGTGAAAGCATTTGGGGTCAGAACTGTGCAACAGAATTTTTGGAACGACTTCCTGACAAGAGTTTAATATATTTCCATAACCTCAGTTATGATATAAACTTCATCTTAAGACACATGACAGAAGTGAAAGGAACTCCCATCATTAAAGGTTCACGAACAATGCAAATAACTGGTTTATATAAAGGAAGGGCAATTATTATAAAAGACTCTTACAGTGTTATAAATAAGAAGCTTAAACTATTTCCTGCTATGTTTAACTTACAAACAGGACCGAAAGAAGTATTTCCATATAACTACTACAGCAGTACTTTATTAGCAAATGACAACAGAACTGGTGTCATTTCTGAAGCGTGTAAGTTTATCCGGGATGCAGATACATTTATGAAAAACATAGATTCCATCAAAGGTTGCAGAATAGATGAAAACCACTTCGACTTAGAAAAATATAGCACATTTTATTGCAAACAAGATGTAAGAATTTTAAGAGAAGGTTTTGTTAAGTTCCGCAATGACATATTGAAAGAATTTGATTTAAACGTTTATGACTACGTTAGTATTTGTTCAATTGCTAACAAATTATTTGAGAACAGAGTGTACTTCCCGAATGGAAATTTATATGACCTCTCAAATAAACCAAGAGAATTTATTTCGAGATGCATTCAAGGTGGAAGATGTATGTTGTCAGATAACATGAAACAAAAGAGCGAAAAGAAACTCATTGCTGATTTCGACGCTGTTTCATTATATCCATCAGCTATCGCGAGACTTTATACTTTAGAAGGAATTCCAAAAGTATTGAAGGATGAGATGTTAAGCACAGAGTATCTCATGAGACATTTATTCGATGACGACCAAAAGGAACCCATTGGTGAAAAGTTTGTGTCTGGCTTCTTTGTTCTCATTAAGATAA